TCCCTAGAAATTAAAGCTGCAGCCTATCTTTTGGCTACAGTTCTGCTTGGTCTCCAGAAAATGTAGTCATGGCATGCTCTGATAAGAAGCAGTCTTAGTCATTCTTAATCTTCTTTGTAAGCAATCTATATATTGGCAATAATTAAACTTTGAGAGCTTGTTGAGACAACTTTGAAACTTTAATGCAGACCTTTACATTTAAAAAAAGTTTTTTATGAAACTACACTCACAGGCAACCAGATTCATATTAAACATCAAGAAGAAACAACATGTTCACAGGCTTTTGCGGGTTCTAGATGTAATGATGGCCAGACAGCTTTGGATGACAGTTTGTTCTTGGTCTTGCTTGTTAGTAGCAATGAACACTGACATTTTTTGGAGCCACATAGCATTTGTGGCAGATGATAATTGGCTTCCATGTTACAGAGTTGTGACAATGCATCATTTTCATGCACGTGCGCTTATGAGTGTCTGTGTCTGAAATGCTTCTGGGCTATACTACTCTCTTCTTTTTGAAGGAAATTCTTTTCAGTGACTAGTAAATAAGTAGAAATCTGACATGTGGGCATCATATTAGAGAGTTAGCGTCTATTAAGTTGTCTTGGTATGTATATAAAAACTCTCTGAAGGCTTCTGCATACATAGTATAATCTCTGGCTGAAGACACATAGCCACATCAAGCTAATCAGTCCACAATATGATCTTTTCTTGACACTTGCCCCACAAATGTCAAGTTGCTGTCAGTAAGCAATATTTTCTTCTGTCAGAAGTTTCTCATCTGTCCAGATGTATGGTGAGGTGAGTTTGCTTAGGATTGTGTCTCTATAGTAGGTTACAGTAGTGTAAGGTTACTAGGAAATTCTCCAGTTGCAGTATACCTTATCAGTTGCAGTGTTTCTCAGCAGCAGCATGGATTACTGTGTGCTGCTTCTAGTTTTTGAGGTAGGTTGCTATAAAGGACAGTTAACTATGATGCCTGTCTTTAAAATGTGTGGTAGACTGTCCAAAAAAGATTCTTAAACCTCAAAGGTTAGTATTTGATTGAAAACTTTAGTTTCCAGAGCTAAGTAAAGCTTATTTGCATAAATGATGTTGAATCCAAACAACTGCTCTTAGCAGGTAGTATAATATAAAGAATACTTAAGAGCACCTTACTTTGCCCTGTAATTGCAAGGTGTACTTTTCACCTTTTGGGCTTCTGAAGTGCACAAGAACAGGCAGGCTTACAGTAGACAAATCACTGCACTTCTTCCTCCAGTGTGAACAACTCAGTGTTGTTTATTGCATAGTAGTTGAATGTTATGATAAAGATTGTGTAGTGGCCTCTTTAAAGAGTTATACTGAGAAGTGCAAACAGAATCGATCCACAGAGGTAGGAATAGAAAACTGCTGAATTTTATGTGCAAGATATTTTCATGATGCAAATCAAAATTTTACATTACGTGGGGGAAATCTGAAGTTCTAAACCATTAGCTTGTTATAAAAATAAAGCTTTATGCTAACTGACCACTGCACATATAGTTGTCAAAATTTGTCAGTAAGGGTTGAGTATCTTTCTTCCATGAATATAGTCTGTTTCATCAGTAAATGTTTAAAGGGTGATGTCAGAGTTGCAGCAAAATGAATGCAGTATATTTGAGTTCTTAAAGCATATAATGCTATTTTTAACTCTCTCGAGGAACTTAAGACTTTATTAAGTAATTTACATTTAAAATCTTTCATGATTTTAAAAAAATCTTGCATTGCACTATGGATCTTTAAGAAATACACACAACATTTTACTCGATTTGAATGTTCTGCAAATACTTTTCTGAAAATGTATTCTGAATTATTGGCGGATGCAGTTTGACAGACTTGAGTGTTTGCTACTGAAAGAGGAGTTCTTTTTCTTCAGTGATTTTTTTTTTTTTTCCTTTTTTTGAAAGGAGGGAACTTAAAACTTATATTTGTTATTTGAGAATCTGTTTTAAGAAAACAACCTGAGTTTAAAAACTTTTTCTCTTCTTCTCCCCACCCACCCCCCTCCCCAGTTCCTCAAATGTTAGCAATGATGGTTGACTTGGAAGAAGATGAAGACTGGGCAAATGCAGATGAGCTTGAAGATGATGATTTTGACAGGTAATTATGAAACGGTTTCGATCTATTATCATTACTGTGTGCTAAAGGCAAATTTTAAGTGCAAAATGCAAATAAATGCAGTGCATTACTTTCTCCTTAACTCAGGTAACTTCCAGTTTTGTTCCCTTGGTCACAAGCAGTATATCTGACTGTTCTCAAACAGTTTTTAAGTAGGCTATTCAGGTGCTGTTCAGCAAGTAAATTCTTTTGGTATTCATGTATTGCTATAATTTACTTGTTCATATTGCATGTCCTCTTGTCTGCTGTTACGCATTGGTTTAATTTTTCAGACTTGTTTCTTCTGTAACTTGCATTGTTCAGTTCAGAAGTTGGAACTTCTTAACCCTTTAAATTGAAGTCTTATTCTAAAGTTAACTAGTGCCAAAGCTGACAGCCACTGACCTGTTGTATTGTCTACATCCAATCTCTTCATATTTTTCTGTATCTGTGCCCTTGAAAGCGAGATGTTAAAGAGAAAAGCTGCCTACCTTTGAAAGAACATAAGAATGTATAGTGGAATTCCTTGTTGGATTTCATCTGGCTCAAAAATATGATTTTGGTATTATTTTAAATCCCTTGCTATGGCTAGCAGTAGTTTATCTTGCTGTGTCTTAGGCAAGAAAGATCTACTAAAGATGTCCAGCCTTTCTGATTTGCTTATTCCTGTGTACTTCGTAGATTGCTCCAGAATTTCACTAGAATGACTGATTTGTCTACAGCATCCTGTTACATGTGTAGGAGATAACTATCTCCAGACTTCTGTAAAGACAGGGATGTTCATTTACCAGTCTAGGCGCTTTTTTTGCCACATCTGGCAAGTCCTTCAAGGCTCAGATGTAATTAGTGTTTCAAAACAATTTGCCACAGAACATGTTGGAAAGTGTACGTGTTTATTCCTGACACATAGGAAGATAGGCAGTAGAAGAGACGTTGATTTACCATTGAACCATATAATGACTTCTACTAGGTATCAGGCATGTAAAGACACTTGCAAAACCAAAGCATAGGAATTTATGGAAGGAACCCATTTAAGTTCTGCTTGACTTGGAATATGTTTTTTTTGTTCCACTTGATCATGGAATTGAAAGTAAGCTGTTGTTTCACCCTTTTAACCGGTTTAGTTTCCTCATATTTGACATTTTGCTATACAGGTAGAACTATCAGACACTGCTGCATTCAGGTTTGTCAAGTATTTGAATCTTTTCATTCAGCTAAATTTCAAGAGGAAATGAAATATTAAAGTTCAAATCCTCATCAAGCCTTTCAGGGTGTGGAGTTTATTCAGATATCCTGCTTTAAGCAGCTTAGTAAGTGCTCTGAATCATCCACTTGAGGCATGCCAATTTGTCTTTATTGTCAGCAGAGTAATGTAGTGCTTCTAAACACAAGTTAGCTGCCTATGGATTTTAGAGTGAAAATTCCACCCCACCCCCCCTTTTTAATTTTTTTGTTACAAGTTTCAAGTAGAGTGAGCAAAGATCAGAAAGCAAGTTATGCTTGGCCGCCTTAGCCTGAAGAAGAAATGTAGCTCCTTTGGACCTTGAAGTAGTAGGGGAGATTGAGGCTTACACACAAAATACTGGTCATCGGGTAGTCTCCGGTGATGGTGTGTGTGGTGGTAGTTTTTTCTCACTCACGCTGCTGTGTGTTTCCCACTTTTGTGGAGAGTTGTTGATTAGCTGATGTTCACGCTGACCTCTTCGGGTGCTTGAGTCTTTGTAACATCTTAAGAAGACTGGAATTTCTGTGCAGTCCAAGAAACAGGCTAATGATCGTCAGGCTGTAGCCTAGTTAGGGTGTGTTCAGATCTAAGGGGGATGTGAGTCAGCCTACACAAAAGCTGCAGGGAATATTTTAGCATTTCCAGGTTTTTGTTGCTCTGACTTCATATAGCAGTGAAATTCTAAAGGAGGAAAAGGTTAATCCAGCTTCCTTTTTTTCCTGGCAAAAGCCTTGCAAACATTGCAGGGAGGTATGTGGCCATTTTTCTAAGATAGACTTATCTTTATTTCCTCAAACTGAATGTATGAATTAATGGTGAGAGGAAAGAGCTCAAAGAACGTAATTTCACGCAAAAGCTGCCATTAACGTTACTGACTTTGCTCCAATCTAAACCTGAGTGTCCCTGCTCTGTTGCTCTCCTCATGATGTCTGTTTATTTGAACATGACTAATCAGGAGAAAAATTACAATATCCTCAATATCTTTGCACAACCACTGCTGTTCACAGCATCTGAGTTTCTAGACTGTTTATGGTTTGTAGTGAGACTGGGGATTCAAGCATAGTAATTTGAAGACTTCTATTTCTGACCCAGCTGACTGATACGTGAAAGAAGAGGGAGATTCATCGCTTGCCGAACCATTGCTCAGCTGTTCCATCAGTGTCTAGGATGGACTGTAATAACCTTAAGTTATTACAGTGCTAGCTATACCTGGACTGTGACTGTGGTTGTGGCTAATAATTTTATTGGGTGGAACAAGTCACTTCACACAGATAATGTTAGGTGATTCTGAGTTCCAGAACTGACTGAGAGTCACAGATTCCTCACCTGGACTGGAGGTTTTCTGCCTGAGTCATTGGCAAGAGAACACATTGCTAAACTACTGATACAGCAGCCATGCAAGAAACGTCTCTTATGTGCCAAAGCCTGAATTCTACTGGTTCACCTAATTCACAGCAAGTCTGAACTGGTTTGTGTTCTCATGACAAAAAGATGATGGCCAGTTTTATTGCTTTATTCACTGCAAATTTAGTTTCAGCTTTCTAGGCATGTGTTACTGTTACAAAATCCAGTCTACATCTTCAGTGCTGGTAAGGCCCAAGTTTCTTTGGTACTAGACTTAACAGGTTACAGTAATAGATGTTTCAGTGGAGGGTAAGTAACTACTTTGTGATTAGTTTGTATGCTTTTAGGTTTGGGTATGGTTTATTTACTTATGGAGGCTCTTGTGTGTTCAGATGGCAAAGGTTTGAAGACTAGAACTGCAGGAAAGGGCAATTCTGTGCCCTGCCGGACTGTTTGTTTTGTTGTAGATATCAGACCACTGATGTTTCTGTAACTGATATTTAGCAATGCAGTTGCTGGTGAGAGTGCACTGGACAGGATGGCATGTGGCCTCGGAGGAAAACTTGTTTTACCTATGATTAAAGAACATATTATGCAAATGCTTCAGAATCGTAAGTAGCTTCATTTTCTTTTTTTACAATTCTGTCCTTTCCAGAACCTTTGATACCTCTTAAATCTTCATGCTTAGCTTCTTGATATATCTTTTATACACTTCAGCTTTAAATGCTGTGAACCATTTTTCTCACAAATGTTTACTGAAATAATAATTTAGAACAACTGGGTTTGGACTGGGTAGCCAGATGGTCCAAACACAATTGCATTTTGTTTTGTAGAATCATTAATTTCAAGTCTGGATTGCATGCTAATACTAATACAGTTAGAGTAGCAAGAGCTGCAGGCTTAACTAGGAACATCCAATGAACTTAAATAGCACAAAATAAACTACTTCCTCACTGTGCCTTCTCTCAAGATGATATTTCATCTCATCCTCATGAAATAGAAGTTTAACTGTCAGGATTCCCATGGTCTGAACTGTTGTGTTCTTCATTCCAGAAGTTTAATAAATAATCAGGAATGATGAAGTGAAGGAAGTTCTGTTATGTGCCTTTACCAAGTCATTTGATAAACCTGTTCGTTCCTCTGGTTTTCTTTTCTGTAACCTCATGTTTTATGGCACAGAAGCACAGAGATTCTGTAAAAATCCCAAAACAAACAAAACAACAAGAACAAAAACCCAAACCAACAAAAAAAACCCCAAAAGCCCCCACAAAACCAAAACATAAAAAAAAAAAGCAACCCATCTTCAGAGTTTCTCACACGTTTCCTTTGCCTAAAATAAAAGGAGGGGTGCGTGACAGATCCATTTCAACAATACCCACTAGTCTAAGTCTACTAGAGTAGACTAATAGGACTTGGAGGTAGGGAAAACCTTACATCCCTAGATGGAATGTTACTGTTCTTAAACTGTCTTGGGGAAACTGCTGAAAAGTTGAGTACTGATTATTTATTTGTTTTAAATTCAGATATTTGATTCACTAGACTTTTTTCCCCTCCTCACCTAAAGAGGAAGAAATAGGCTTCTAGGCTGCTTTGAAATAGATATAGATAGATAGATACAGAGATATATAGCGATTTATTTATTTATTTTAATTATGGGAAAGGGAAAAAGAAATCCTGTCCTGATGCTTCCCTGCTTAGCTCATTTAATTAACATGCAGGTTCCAGGTGTTAGAACTATGTACATACTTGTATCGGCAGTTAAGAATTCTCTTTTTTCTAGGTCTGGATTTGGCCTGGATTAGATACTCAAATTTTTGTGCATCTCTGGAAGTATGAATGAGGAGAAGTGAAAAGTATTTAGCAAATCAAGTAGATGCATAAATTTTCCTTTTCACTTCTGTTCTTCATTCTTCTTCCTCCTGTTGCCCCCAAAAAGGTGGTTTATCTTTGTCTTTTGAGTTTCCAAAATGAATAACCTTTATTTTAATTTTTACTCCTCTGTAGCTGACTGGAAATACAGGCACGCTGGCTTGATGGCTCTCTCAGCCATTGGAGAAGGTTGCCATCAACAGATGGAGGGAATTTTAAATGAGATAGTTAATTTCGTTTTGCTGTTCCTTCAGGATCCTGTGAGTATAAGTTTATTAATTATTTCAAAATGTTTTCATTTGTTCTTTCATGATACTTGTTAACTATTTGAGGGAAATACTTTTTCAGCATCCGAGAGTGAGATACGCTGCTTGTAACGCTATTGGACAGATGGCAACTGACTTCGCACCTGGTTTTCAAAAGAAATTTCATGAGAAGGCAAGTAGTATAGTGGTGGGGGGAGGGAAGTAGTAAAAGCATGTCCCCTTCAGAAACTTATTCTCTGCAAATACACATTTCTTCTTTAGGTGATAGCAGCTCTTCTGCAAACCATGGAAGATCAAGGCAACCAACGAGTTCAAGCCCATGCAGCTGCAGCACTCATAAACTTCACTGAAGATTGTCCCAAGTCGCTGCTTATTCCATATTTGGATAATCTAGTGAAGCATCTTCATTCCACTATGGTGATAAAATTACAAGAGGTATAATATACTGAACAAATTGTTTCATGGAGGGTAAACTTGTCACAGGGAATAAGTATAGCTGAATTAAGACCTCTGAAATAAGCAGATGTTGAACCAACATAGCTGCAGATGTTGGTCTAAACTGACATAATTAGGACATTCAAGAGCAGATTTTTACATTTGGCATGCTTTAAAGAATGTGCTGTAGGAATATAACATTTTATTCTTCCTTTTTCCAAGTTGATACAGAAAGGCACTAAGCTAGTTTTGGAGCAAGTTGTGACTTCAATTGCATCAGTTGCAGATACAGCAGAGGAGAAGTTTGTTCCCTACTATGATTTATTTATGCCATCTCTAAAACACATTGTTGAGAATGCCGTTCAGAAGGAATTAAGACTTCTACGAGGAAAGACTATTGAATGCATCAGCCTAATTGGTCTTGCCGTTGGTAAAGAAAAGGTAAGCTTAAATCTTATCTAATGGTCTAAATATGCTTTCAAATGCCCTTTTTTTGCAGTGTTAACATTGAATTAATATATTCACTTGTTACACATACAGCTATGTTCTTGCTGATATCTGTTCTTGTCTTCCTGTTCTCATTTGAGGTGACTGTCTTACTGTTTAGATTCACAAATTCCTAATAGAATCCTGTGAAAATACTTCAGCCTGACTTAGGCTGTCACACTGTGTAGTGTTGAAAGCACCCTTTTTTTTTTTTTTTTTTTTTTTTTCTGCATTTGGGATGGCTTTCTGCCTTGAGAAATACTGGATCATCTCATTTAGGCAGTGTCAGAATGGCTGGTAAAATGTATGTAGTTTGAAGGAAACTTAGCATAGTTTCTGTGTGCAGATGCCCGAAAAGTTTAAATGTGCTTCTAATAGAACTAGAAGTACTCATTTGTCATAAGGCTTGGCGTATTTGGCAGTTTTAGGGATTTTTTTTTTTTATTTTTTGGTTAAAACATGTTTCTGTAAACATACCAAGAAACAAATGTGAAGGACAATGTAAGTGGTGTTCTGATAGCAAGTTTGCATTACGGTTTACACGCTTTCATCTTACTGAGTGGAGAAAACAAAATAGCATTTCAAAGTAAAATTAAGTGATGCATACAGTACAAAAATTCTTTCCCCCCACCATTACTAGCTCTTTCCTTTGACTTAGAAGGAGTAGTAGTAAACTTACCATTCATGCAACTAAATTTTAATCAGATTTTAAACATAGCTAATGTTTAGTAAATTATTGTTGGAGGACTACTGGGAACATGGGGTGTGAAAAGAGGGTAGGTGTAACATCACTGGGGCATCTGATGTGACCTAGAACTTTATGAGCTCATGAGTAAGTAGTTCATGCTGTCAGCTTTTGTCCCAGTTCTGTAAAGGAGTCAAAATAGTAAAGAGGGTATCTGGGGAAGTTAGAATAGTCAGAATATCAGGATTTATTTAAATAGTGTTTTTACATACTCCTGCTTTCAAGTGTATGAACAGAGGAACAATGAAGTTTAAGACAAGAATGACTTGGTGATACCTCTGGGAAAACACCTTGTGTTTTCATGTTTTTCTGCGTTTCAGTCTATTTCTAGCTTTAACTTGTGTCATGACAGTGTGCTGGACTTAACACCAAACAATTTAAGTGACCATTTAAGTCTCTGAAAAGTACTCTTTTAATTTGCCTTTAAAAACATATAGTTGTTTCTTACATCTAGTTTATGCAAGATGCATCAGATGTAATGCAGCTGTTATTGAAGACACAAACAGACTTCAGTGATCTAGAAGATGATGATCCACAGGTATGTTAAAATTACAATGCGTAACTTGCTGGTTAATATTAAAAACATTCTTTGTACATGTGATGTTTCTGCCCCCCCCTTTCCCAGTTACACCTTCAGGCTAATTGTTCAGCATGTCTTACAGAAATTGGGATTGATTGCCCTAAGATGGCCTTAGACTCTTTCACAGAAGTGTGTTTAGGAAATGAGACTTCCAGGATCTATATTTGCTGTAGGAATTTCAGCATGTGGGTAGTCATTCCTTGTTTATTACTAACTACTTTTTTTGGCTGTGTGTGACCTATTCCTTTGGTGTCACCTCCATATAAATAGTTCAACAAGACTTGTTAGACAGCTGTTCTAATGAGTGGAGTGCTATTTTGACTTGTGCATTTGAAAACAAATACTCCTGAAAGCACAGTGCTGCTCTCTTTTTTGCTCTGTTATTTTCAGGCATATGGCTCAGTGGTATCACTTAAATTTAGGGAATGATTTATTTCAGGAAAAAAGTTTACTTTTCAAGACAGTCATGGTTACATTACAAGTACATCTGATACTGTCACATTTTTACGTATATAGTGACTTTGATCTGAGGTAGTTAATGCGTTGTTATGAATAAAGACCAGGGACATGTCTTTTGAAGATGCGTTTTTGTATGGATGGCACATTGGATGAGTTCTTCTCTTTGAAATAAGTTTTATGCACTGCTGAGAAATTCTTTTAGAGTCCTATTGTTTAATATTCTTCCTTTTATGCATTCCTTTTAAGTATGCATTAAAATGAAGTATGGGACATGAAAATTCTGACTTTTCTCTTACAGATTTCTTACATGATCTCAGCATGGGCCAGAATGTGTAAAATTCTTGGAAAGGAATTTCAGCAGTACCTTCCTGTTGTCATGGGACCTTTAATGAAGACTGCGTCCATTAAACCTGAAGTAGCTCTTCTAGACAGTAGGTTTAAAATCATGTTTTGCTTGGAAAAAAAATCCTGATATAATTTTGTAGGACTCTTACGTATTTATTTTTCTGTATTATAGCACAAGATATGGAGAATATGAGTGATGATGATGGTTGGGAATTTGTAAATCTAGGAGATCAGCAAAGTTTTGGAATTAAAACTGCAGGCCTTGAAGAAAAAGCAACTGCATGCCAGATGCTGGTGAGTAATAGAACAGTTTTGGTATTGCTGGACAATCAAGTTTGAAGCCAAAATTTGTAAGGAAAATATTATTTATAGTATCAAATGAAATGGTTCTGTTTTTCTTTGCATGATATGTCAAGTAGATTTCAGACAATTCACTGTGTGTGGCTTGCTTGATAAAAATAGTTCCTTTATTTTGGAGCTTCAATTCTTATGATAAACAGATCATTTTCCTTTTGTTAGCAAAACTTTTAAAGAATTTAAAAGTAGATCCTTTTTGCTAATATTGATGTTTCTGAATTTGGTTTGAAAAATACATGTATGTTCTAAGACTGAGAACTCATGGTGCTATCAGGATTTCTTAAAATATCAAAGTGGAGGGGATAAGTAAATGGATTATTGCATGCTTTTAGAAATAAATTTTAAAAAACTTAAACTTTTAAGAATCTTTCTCATCATCACATGGGGTGAAAAAACATCTGTAACAGTATTTTCCCTTAAAGGTGGTATTTCCATGCTTTGTTTTTCAGGTTTGCTATGCAAAAGAGCTGAAAGAAGGATTTGTGGAGTACACAGAACAAGTTGTAAAGCTGATGGTTCCTTTGTTGAAGTTCTATTTCCATGATGATATCCTATTAACAAATACTACTGTGAAAACAGAAGCTTAGTTTGGAAGAATCAAAAGTCATGCTTACTGTTTTCCTAAATGTATTGAAAGTATTAGTGTTAAAATATTCTGTTGCTTTATAGCAGAATTGTTCTGAGAACATTGTTTTACGCACTATTTTAGGCAATCTATCCTACTTTTTCCCCTAGTTTCTTTCTAAATAAGCATGTCTATAATCTTAAAAGAAAGCAGTAGAGAAAGTGATGTTTGTGCCTACAGAGAGAAGGAGAACTTGAATAGCTTTTCTGTCATGGCCTGAAACAGGCTTGAAACAACTTAAAGTTTCATTTTCCTATGGTTTTAATCTGTTTCTAATTAAGAAAGCAAATACACTGGACTGTAATAAAAAGAATAGATTTCAGGTGGAAAACTGATAACTTCATTATGGTGGTGGGTGCTTAAATTCTAAGCGCTTTATGTTGGTCTTGATTGTTTTATTTCCTTAATGATGAAACGTGTTCGAGTGGCAGCAGCAGAGTCGATGCCCCTGCTTCTTGAATGTGCTAGAGTTCGTGGGCCAGAGTACCTCACACAGATGTGGCACTTCATGTGTGATGCGCTCATCAAAGCCATTGGGACAGAACCAGATTCAGATGTCCTCTCAGAAATAATGCATTCTTTTGCAAAGGTAACTTCTTCCTTACAAACTTTGTGGTGTTACTGTTTGTAGCTTTTTACAGGAAGAAAGGACATGAATTTGATGTTCATTTAAATGGCTGGAAGAATTGCAAAGTTTCCTCTGTGAATTTTGGTTTGACTGTAAATATTACAGCTGATTGAAAAACTTAGTTGTACATTTTTTTTATTATTATTTTTTTTTCCAAGAACCAAAATACCAGAGTATTAACCTAAAATAATTACTGGATTTGTTCATTTTTTTAACCAGAAACCACTGAAGTTCTGTGCATGGAATGTGCAGTGATACTATGCCTACCTTGTATAATTTGAGCATTGGTTGCAGTATGAATGTATCATTTCTGCTAATGATCACTTCAAGCAGAGCATGTATTAATGTTCTGTGTGCTTAGATTTCGTTGAGACTGCTCATGTAACTTAAAGCTAAAAAAATTATCATTTTATTTTTCACTAGTGCATTGATGTAATGGGAGATGGATGCCTTAACAATGAACACTTCGAAGAACTTGGAGGAATACTGAAAGGAAAACTAGAAGAGCACTTTAAAAACCAAGAATTAAGACAGGGTAAATTAACGCAAATTCCTGTTGATATGTGATAATGACTGTTCTTTATAGCAGGATTCCCAATAATTTCTGAACACAAAAAAAGCTTAGTTCAGGTTTCTTTAATTTGCATATTTATGTAAGGTAATTGGGCTTTGAAACAACAGAATCTATGAGTTATATTTGTGAGCTCTGGGAGGATGAAGATGGCATCATTTGCAGAAATTCTGCAGTTGAATTAAAAGTTGATGGACAGATTTACTTGAAGACAGTGCACATGTCTATGCTGTTGTCATTTCTGTATTTTGGGGGTGGTTTTTTTTTTCGATCTTTGCAGTTTTCTTAAAGCAACAGGTAGCTTCTTATGTCTGTGCATTTTTCTTGTCCTTGTGGACAAGCTGGTGTGTTTATTTCATGCACTTTTGCATGCATTCTTAAACTGAGCTGTCTCATTATACTCCTTGTTTCTCTGTGAAAGCTCTTTGAAGTTTCTTAAAAGACATAATGCCTGTTACATCTTCATCTGCTCTTTCCTATTTTCTAAATTTGTTTCTGCATCTTTTTTTCCTCTTTGTTTTCTTTTTTTTCCACTTTTTATGTAGAAATGTAATGGTTTAATATTTGTTCTTTCATTTAGTGAAAAGACAAGATGAAGACTATGATGAACAAGTTGAAGAGTCATTACAAGATGAGGTAAGTTTGTTTGGGGAGCTTTTCCACTTACGGAGCACCAGGATGAAAATACATTACATGGATGTGCTATGCTACTCAGTTAAAGCATAGTGCATCTGCAGAATTATTTCTTTCTGGAAGAATACCATATTCCTTCAAAAATTCCAGTAAGAAAAAGGTGAATCAGAAAATACAGAACATTTCCTTGTCTGCTATACTGAAGGAGGAAGTTCAGGATATGGCTCTTCATTTTCTTAATCCTCTCAAACAATTCTTAGATTACTTTAATGCAGCACTTTACAGCAGACTATTTAGTGATTATGTAAAGCCTAGCTGTGCTGACTTCCTTTTTCTTTGTGCCTTATGACCTAGGTGGCTCTTAACCTTGAGCATGCTCTGACATGTCAGGTTAGGAGCCTGTCTCAAAAAGAATAGATTTAAAATAGTGGCAGAGGAGGACAGCAGGATGAATAGCTAGCGTAATGTGTTTGCTTATGAGCGAATACCAAAGTGACCACTCCTCTGCTAAGACGCCAAACTGACTTTTTAATTTGAAGAGGAGATGACTGTAGAAGAGGTACAATAGTTCTATTAAATCATCATTGGTATGGAGAGAGTAATAAAGAATAATAAGTCACTGCTGCTTATGACATGAGATGTAAAGGATGCTCAGTAAATTTAAGTACTAGGACTTTTTTTTTTTTTTTTGCCACAGTGCAGGTGTGAAGCTTGTGAAGTTGAATTGTGAAGCTTGTTCACATGAGTTTAACCTGGATACAGACTCCAGGGTATATCTTAACAGATCATGCACCCATATGTAAATACTTCCTAAAATAACAATGCAGTTCTTGAGCCCCTTTGCTTTGGGAACATTAGGCCAGCATTCAAAAGGATAGATTTCTGGCACCTACATACTGCTTGGGATCAAAAAAATAACAACACTCAAGTTCTGAGCCAAGAGCCTTTCCTGTTTTTTTTTTTTTCTTTCTTATTTGCTTTAATGTTCATTCTTGTAGACAGTGAGTTAAGCGGTTTATTTCTTACGTGTCAGTCTGTACTGATAATAAGAGAAAATGCTAGCTAGTAGCAGCTTCTGAACAGCTGAATCCATATTCTGCAACAGAGTGGCAAGGCATTTTAGAAATGCTTTCATTTCTGTTTGACCTTGCTGATTTTTTTTTAAAGACTGCAGGGTAGGCGTACGTGTCTACCTTACCCTGTTAAAGTAGGAATGGGACCAGAATGTCGTTTGCCATATGGACAGAATTAACATATGGTAAGGGATATACACCTTTGGTCCCAGAATACATTTACGTAGCCCTTACCTCAAGGCAGCAGAAATATAAGGGAGTACAGAAGTCACAAAAGATACTCAAACAGTAGTTCTGCAAGATATCCAAATACAGCCCTAGCTTAGGCAATAACTAAACTGCTGATGTGATAGAGAAAGGCATATGCTAAACTCTTCCCCATGAGCATCTGTTATCATCTATTAGTAAACAGGCAATAGCAGGCCAAGTGGACCTTGTGGTGTGCTGTAGCAGTTCTCTTCTTCTATTTTCATTTGTGTGTATGTTCCAGAGTTATTGCTTGAATTATGCCTTGACAATGCAGAAGTTGTCTCACTGGGGAGGTTTTAAATATCCAGTTCTGAGAAGCTGCCTGTTACATGAGAAGTACTTACTAGTTTCTCACTAGGGACCAGAAACTAGCTGTATTCTGTTTCCCTGCCTGTTAAAGTATAAACTGATTAAAAGAGCCATACCAAGTACAACAGAACTTGCTTTAAAACAAGATTAAAGGGTTTTCCAAATGGAAGTGTGTCCAGGGAACAATCCTTGCTTGCAGCTATAATATGAAGTGATAGCTGTATCTGAGCTGAGGATCTTTACTTCACAATTTGATGTCATAATTGAGCAAGGTGAAAAATGAAGTTAAGTGGTAAGATGAGAGGATTAATATTTCTTACATTTTTGCTACAGTCTTCTGTCACAAAAGCAGTTATCCATTTACTTTTCAATAAAAGCTTGTTATAGTATCTGTAAGGTACAGAAGAGGAAAAGGACCTTCTGTCTTCTGTAACACTGAAGCAGTAAATTTGCACAAGTGTTTGTCTTGCTAGAATTTTTCTGTCCCTGAAACAAACCTTCAAGTCCTTCACAACTGAGTACCGGCGATTGACTTGCATTTTTAGGAAGGGTATAAAGGAGACCCCTGAGATCTACCAACCAGTTAGTCTCATTCTGTGCCCAGGAAGATCATGGAACAGGGTTTTCTGGAAGCTCTGTCATGGCACATGGAAGACAGGGAGGTGATTAGAGACAGCTGATGTGGCTTCACAAAGAGCACATCATGCTCAAAATATCATGCCCAAATAATCTAGTGGCTTCTCTGACGGAGTGACTGCATTGATGGATTAAGAAGGAGAAACTGATGTCATCTGTCTTGAAGGCCTTTGACATGGTCCCACAGAACATTCTTGTTACTAAATTGGAGAGATACGGATTTGATGGAGGAACTATTTGGTAGACGAGGGAGGGACTGGATGGCCATGTCCAAGAAGTTGCATTGAGCAGCTCAATGTCCAAATAGAGATAAGTAACAAGGGGTGTCCCTCAGGGGTCTCTACTGCTGGCACCAGTACTGTTCAATATCTTTATTAACAATGTAGGTAGTGGAATTGAGTACCTCCTCAGCAAGTTCGCAGATAACACCAAGCTGAGTGGTGTAGTTAATGCACTTGAGGGAAAAGATGCCATCTAGAGGGGCCTTGACAGGCTTGAGGAGTAGAGCAGTGTGAACCTCATGAACTTCAGTAAGGCCAAATGCAAAGTCCTGCACCTGGTTCAAGGCAATCTCCAGTATCAGTACAGACTGGGGAGTGAATGGATTGAGTGCAGCCCTGTGGAGAAGGACTTGTGGATACCGGTTAATGGAAAAATTGCATATAAGCCAGGACTGTGAGCATGAAATCCAGAAAGTCATCCATATTCTGGGCTATATCAAAAGGAGTACAACCAGCAGGACAAGGGAGGTGATTCTCACCTTGCTCTCATGAGACCCCACCTGCACTGCTGCATTCAGCTCTGGGGGCCCCAACACAAGAGGGTTGTGGACCTGTTGGAGTGAGTACAGAGGAGGGCCACAGAGATGCTCAGAGTGCTGGAGCACCTCTTCTGTGAAGACAGGCTGAGAGAGTTTGGCTTGTTCAGCCTGGAGAAGAGAAGGCTCTGGGGAGACCTTAGAGCAGCCTTCCAGTACTGAAAGGGGCCAACAAGAAATCTGGAGATGGACTTTTGATGGGCATGTGGTGACAGGACAAGGGGAAATGGCTTTAAACTGAAAGAGGGGAGATTTAGATCAGATAATAGGAAGAAGCTCTTTACTGTGAGGGTGGTGGGACACCGGAACAGGTCACCCAGAGAAGCTGTGGCTGCCCCATCCCTGGCAGTGTTCAAGGCCAGGTTGAACGGGGCTCTGAGCAACCTGGTTTAGTGGAAGATGTCCCTGCCCATGGCAGAGGGGTTAGAACTAGATGATATTTAAGGTCCCTTCCAGCCCAAACTGTTCTATCTTTCTGTGATTAGATCAAATGTTGAAAAATAGTGGACTTTAAAAGGCTGGGTTTACAAAACCAAATCATTGAACTTCATTCTGTTAGTTTAGACATTTTGGCATTTCATGTGACTTCAGCTGTTTTAAAGATCAGTAGTCTTAATGTGAGTTGTATCCTTTTCTTATCAGGATGACAATGATGTTTATGTTTTGACTAAAGTATCGGACATTTTGCACTCAATATTCAACAGTTATAAAGAGAAGGTACTCCCATGGTTTGAAAGGCTACTTCCACTAATTGTCAACCTAATTGTAAGTACCTGGCTTGCTTTTATTTTGACTTGGATTGTATTTTCTGATGTGTTGATAGGCCTGACATCTTAAACATACTGGAATCTTAAAGAACTTGGTAGATAGAACATAGAACTTACCGTTTACAAAATAGAGGCAATTGAAAGTTTGTTCTGGATCAAGTACAAAGTTGTTACCTTATGCTTTTTGAACAGCATCACTGCTGTGCTGTTTCTAATTTGTGTGTTCCAAGACTCAGGATCATTGACACACACATGTATTCTGAGAAATTTAATTTGCCTGAGAGTGTCTGGTACTCTTTAAAATGGATTGCAAAAAGAGGGTCAAAAAAGTATTGCAGACTAGTGGGAAAAATTGGAACTGAAATAGGTATTGGAGTATGAAATAGAGGTATTTAGCCTAAAATTTTTGTAATAGGCTCAGATACTCACCTGGATTTTGGTTTGTTTATGGTATCACTGCAAGTATCACAAGACAAAATTGTGTGTTTGTAGGATTAAATTTAATCCAGGAGGATTTTAACAAAGTTACTAGACCACTGTTACTGTGATTGTTCTGTTGATCTAATCACTGACTGTACAAAAAATACCAGCTTTAAGGTGGCTTAAATATTACCTGGTTTTGATGCAGTGTCCACATAGGCCGTGGCCAGACAGGCAGTGGGGGCTGTGCATTTTTGACGATATTGTAGAGCACTGCAGCCCCTCCTCGTTCAAGTACGCTGAATACTTCCTGAGGCCAATGCTCCAGTCAATATGTGACAACAGCCCAGAGGTTAGGCAAGCAGCTGCCTACGGTGTTGGAGTTATGGCACAATTTGGTGGAGACAGCTATCGTCCTTTTTGCACAGGTATGTACATGCATTGAGCCTCGGGCAACATGGTCTAGGTGAGGCGTCCCTGCCCATGGCAGGGGGGTTGGAACTAGATGATCTTAAGGTCCTTTCCAACCCTAACCATTCTGTGATTCTATGATAAAGCTATTTGAATGTGGGATGTGGGGATTGGGGAGGAGAATAATTTGCTGGCCTTTTGGTTAATGAGGTCTCTTCCCTTTGGCAGTGAAGTAGATTGCCAGTGTAACCTCTGAGGCAGACTGGTGATGATTAGTGAAGTCCCTGAATTCTGTGGGATTTTAATAATGTTCTGTGTAGCAGCATTTCTGTTGCTGAATTCTGTTGATTAGTACTAATGCGGTTACATATTAATGCAAAACCCTTTTGGTATCTATACAGGTGTCCTATACTAAGAGTAGCCTAGAATACTAATAACTAATGTGGCACTCTGCTTTCCCATTATATAAAAAGGACCCTGATTTCTGCAACTAAGAAATGAAATTAGTATGATAATGCTTATCAGAAACATTTTGCTTTTTCTGAATGTCTCGAGTTTCTCTAAAACTTCAAATTCATCTGGAATTTAAAGAAATGGTTGTCTCCTGGCACTCTTCTTGCCAGTCAACAAAGTTCATTTTGTGCACTAACTAGTATCCCTTAGAAGAGATTTTCTTTTTTTTAAAGCAAATATTTAGTTACCTGTTTCAAATATGTATTTCCCAGGAATCTTAAACAAAAGCTGAATTAAATGATGTAAGAAAATAAGAACCATGTGATAGGGATAAATGTAACTGTCACATGGTGACAATCAAGACGAGGTGTCTTTCAGGAAGAAAAAAAAAAATAAAAAGCAGGGGGGAACATTGCAGTGAAAGGTTAAGAGCATTAACATTTAAAATTGTTTAGAAAAATACTTTGTGAACTTCTCCATAAGGTTTTTATGTCTCTGAGACTAGTGGAGTAGAGACTGGGGTCAAGATAGTTCTGGTTTGGGAGTTTTGGGGAGGTTTAACATGTCTTAAAGTCTAATTTTAATTTTCATTCATTAGACTTCACCTTGGCCCACTTAAACTTTGTAACAACTTTGATCCTTTTCTTTGTATTTGGACAAATAATCTTTGATTGAACCCAGACACTTGACTTCTCCTTTAGTTGGACATTTAGATAAAATAACTTTAGTTTATAGCATACAGCTTATTAGCAGGCAACTCAGAAGTATTTTAGATTGTTATGTATGTACACAAATGAATTTATGATTTATTTTCGTAGATGGGGATGTGCTATGGTTAGAAACAAAGTAAAACCATGGTCTGAGAAGCTATTTACCCCATAGGCATTACTGTCTTCTCTGAAAAAATAATGTTTGTGAGCTTTTATTTATAATTGAATTTATTTACTGATTAATACATAGCACTGGCATATTGTACTGTTGCAAGTTTGTAGCAGTATGCAAAGACTCTACACTATTCAGAAAACGCAGACGTATTAACAACAGTGGTTTTGGCAGTCAGTTGGAAAACTACAGGAATATAGGGAGAACTTGTAAATGCCTCAAGAGCTATGTTATGATGAAAACAACAAGAGTTAAAAACAGAATTGGTGAAGAGCAAAGGAAAAACAACATCAAATGAAGTAACTTTCTAAATGGGCTGACAAGGTTACGATTTATGTGACTGTCAATATTTCTTCTATTTCATATGTTGGTGAAAGAATATAATCAGCTATTCTCTGTGAATATTGTATTAATCAACTGCATGCGTTTCTCCCTAAATCACATCAGTGGCCTCAAAACTTTTGGTGGTGCAAGATGTCAGAGCAGTCAGTCCTTTGCAAAAATTAGTATTATCATTATAGAAGATGATCTTTTATAGTCAAATGGGGGTGTTAGGGATTATCTACCACAACATCTATGAGAATAGATCAGTTTTCTAGACAAGAAAAAAATTGTCTGGTAAGCTGTAGGGAGAAGACTGTGCTGATTCATTTTGATGCCCTCCTAATCTCACAGCTGCAAGGACACATACCTACGGAGTCATCTGTTAATAATGAGTATGAGGAAACAGATGAGATTTAGCTCAGAGCAGTCATAAAAACATGAGGTACAAAACGCAAACTTAATTTGCCTGGACATAGTAGACTTCTGTGATACAAATTTTGCTTTGCAGAAAAGGCCAGTATTGTTACCCTGCATTCAGTACACCAGCTAGCAGGTCTGATGACCAGGGTTTTTGCAGTTCTGTGAAGTTTATCAGCCCCATAAAAGTATCCTTGTCTAGCTTAGGGTTAATCCTGTTTTTCTATAAGCTGCTATATTTTCACAAATCTAATTTGGTGAAGTTAATATAGCAAGTGTCATTGTGTATTTCTTGACTGCAAAGCTGCTACTTACTCATCCAAATGAAGTAGTGTGAGATCTCACTCTCAGTAATTGGAGTTATTTTGAAGTGTGCTTTCTGCACAATTCCACAACCTCTTTTCTGTGCCGATACAGAATATCACAGCTTTAGCATTATATTTTTAGCAGAAGAACACGAGGACAATTGTTCCTGCATGCATGTGGAGTGCTCTGAAGTCCTCATAGATATGAGTAACTAAAATCATGATATTAACCTTCACTTAGAAGTGTGCTTGTGGCTACCTGTATGACTTGAGGGGAGGGAACCCACCAAAACTGCTATTATCCTAGCAAGAAAGTTGGTGTTTTCCCTGATGCTTGATATTTATTTTTTTTCATCTAAACCATTCCCAGTGGATTCACCAGATGAGATTTCTCCTATCTGCTTTTCCTAGTGCACCCTTTAATGGTGGGAGTTGTGTATGTGTACATACATATATATTTTTATATATCTGTGTGTGCACAAGCACTAGATGTGCAGCAGGCACACACCACAGACATGCACTACAGTCCAAATTAATGGGAATGTCCCTCCATCAGTGCTTTTCATTATCCTGTGTTTCTAGAACCTGTAAGATGAAAAAGACAATGCTTTCACTTACGTTTTTACTATAAACTGCTGTGTCTTTTAGATTGTAGACTGCATATCTCCAGTTGAGAGACACAGGAAGATTTTCTTTTTCTGAACCTGTAAAGCAGATCCAGTCTTCTGCAGTAGCTGTTTTCTTGTGTTTCCTTGCATAGCTTTACCTGTCTGTTTTTCATACAATTTTTGAGCAGTGAAGAGCCTAGAAGTAGTGGACATTGGGATGACTGGATGTTAGTGCTTTGGCCACAAAAAAAATCCTGGTTTTAATATGTGCAAGTAGTCTTGTGGAATTTGTAATGTTCGTAACATAAAACTTGATTGTGTATTAAGCTTTCTTCTTGTTTTATCTAACAATTAGAGGCGCTTCCATTGCTGGTGAGAGTCATTCAGTCACCAGATGCCAAAACCAAAGAGAATGTCAATGCAACAGAGAACTGCATTTCAGCTGTAGGAAAGATAATGAAGTTCAAGCCTGACTGTGTAAATGTTGAAGAAGTCCTGCCACACTGGTTATCGTGGCTTCCACTTCATGAAGATAAAGAAGAAGCTGTTTATACTTTCAATTATCTGTGTGACTTGATTGAGAGGTAAGGCAAAGTCTTGACATTAATGCAGAAAGTAAGCTTGTTTGCAGGTTCTTTCCTTGCATTCATTTTCTGAATCTGAGAAACTGCCAGCTTAATTTGCACATGCTTCAGAGAGGGGAATCTGGAATGTCAGAACTGACCCTTCCACTATGTTGTTGCTGTTTTTTTGAGTAGTGTTCTCATCCTAACTAATGTTTGTGTAGTTTTAATAAAACAGCCAGGAATTTTTTTTATGTACATGATGGGAAAGGATCAGCTGGGAACTTCTGCAGAAAATTCCAGGAAAATTGTTACTGTCTTTACATATCAGCATTACTGATCAAGCCTTTTTACTTAAAAGCATGTATGCCCTTGCAGCCTTCTTTTCATAACCTTTTAAAGTAGATTTGCACCTTTTTGCTTTCCAAAAGCCTGAGTATCAACAAAACAAAGTATAAAGTAGAAGAATAATACAGATAAATTCATTGGTACAGTGCTATCTCTCTTAGTAAGTTTGTAAGAATAATTTCAGTGATTGCTGAAAGCATCTTGTCCCACAGCTTGTTCTTTAGATTTGTGCTCCCTCTCATAAGTCAGTGGAGAAAAAAAGATAATTCTTCTAGTGTGGTTGCAAGTTGCACTTCATAATTGAGTGGAAGAATGTCAGCTTCTGAAACGCTGTGTAGGAGCCATGTTGTGGCTGACACCATGTTATATCTTAGTAGAAAAATAGAAAAGAAGTAACTTAGGTTTCCTACAGTGTTTTCTGCTGTGTGAATACCTTGTATCTCAGTGCTTTATTAAGGCAAGGTGGTAGTGGCAACTAAGATCCCTGGACTGATAACTGTGTAGAGACACCATAATAATACTGACATGTATGCATATGCAGATGTATGTAGAAGTCAAGAATTACAGTACTAGCAGCTTTTGTACCCAGCTCTGTGCATGTGGCTCAGCCTTGCGATGTTACTTCTCCATAGCTCTGTCAGTCCTACACAGCCTCTGCATTCCAGCAGTGGTAGGTAGCAGGGCTGGAAGTAGATCATGTTTTCCACCCAGAGCCCTGGTTGCCAGAACTTCTTTACTCCAACACTTGGCTAGGAAGAGGGAGTAGAACTGCTTGCTTGCTGTGTCTGTGAGTGCTGGCAGAGAGCTGCAGTTGCTGGCGCTCCCCACGCCAGTAACACAATCTCCTCCCCCTTGCAGCACTGCGAGAGGGAGGAACAAGCCCTTTTAGGCAGGGTATTTCTGTCACGCTGTTTACAGTTCTGCTTGCGTGGAACTCATCCATTCTGTAGAGTTCAGAACTTTTTCCTGATAAAGTGTGGGCTGAGTAAAGAGTCAGCTGGTTAAATATTAACTGGAGAGGGAACATTCTGTCAGCAGGCAGTGAAGCTATGTATGCTTACTCAGCTGTGTGAAACTTAGATGTAAATAAGCAGCTTTAGAATAAAATACTTCAGAATTACTCAACTTACATGGAAAACGCTTAATTTTTTTTTGTAGTTGAATTTTAATTTATTTGTAATACGTTTTGATTTTAACAGCAACAACCCAATTGTCCTCGGTCCCAACAATTCCAACCTTCCCAGGATATTTGGTATAATAGCAGATGGTGAAATTCATGAAGCTATTAAACATGAAGATCCATGTATCAAGCGGTTGGCTAATGTTGTTCGCCAAGTGCAGGTAAGTAAATGCTTGCTTACGTATGAAGTGAACATTTGGAATCTGCTTTCAGAAGTAACCAAACTGTTAAGTGTTGAGAGCCTTACTTTCTTCAAGAATAATGCTTCAACCAGTGATCTTGTTGATCGTTGGACGTTCCTTGAACCATTAATGATAAAACTCGGTAACATCTGCACTTGAATCTCTTTTGATAGACTTCAGCAGCTTATTAATTTAAAGTCAAACAAACAAAAGATATCTGCAGTTAGATGGTTAACGTACTAGCCAGTATAAGTTGTTTGTGTGTTTGTTTTGTTCTGTTTTCTGAGCCAGAAATTAAAATTAGGAGAGAAATCTGCCTATCTTTGGATCAGTGAACTACACTTTGAGATTCGAGCCAACAAATGTGTGGTTCTTGTAAGGGTCCCCAGGACCCTGTGGTGACTCAGTAATATAGCAGAGGCTAGGGATCTTTACTAGAGAATGAGTGCAAGCCACAAGTAATTTTACTACTGCCCCCTTTAATCCAGTGCAGATACAGGCAGCTCTTCAATGTTTTCCTACCCTTGGGGAACTGCCTCCAGGTTCACTTCCTTTATACCATAACAAGTACTTACAATGATGGGGATGTCCAAGTATTTAAGCAGCACCTCTCTACAGTTTTGTAAGTGATAGGACTCATAAGGCAGGTCTGACCCAGAGCCAGATGTTATCATGTAGACATACTTGACAGTTGCAGCACCTAATGATATTAAGTAGTGTGCCTGGTGAGCTGTCCTGGTTACTGCTGGGATAGAGTTACTTTCCTTTCTAGTAGCTGGTACAGTGCTGCGTATTGGATTTAGTGTGAGAAAACTACAGCACAAGCATACAGCTGATAAAAACTTGTAGAGGATTTGGAGCAGCAGCAGTTCAATTGTTCATTTTACCTGGCATGCTTTGGCAAGACTCGGGTTCAAGAACTTTAGGAGTACTTGATTTTGGAAAGGATTTACTTGAATGAGTGTATCAGCCTGTGAGATCCATTATGTCTGGTAGAAAATGACCTGTTAAAGTTCTGAAGGCATAAAAAGAATGAAATCAAGCAAAGTTTCAAAGTGAAAGTGGTGTGAGTGGCTGCTCTAGATTCTGGCTGAGAGACATGAATGCTTACTGTTAGTGCTTAGTTTGGGTATGGAACTTATGTATTAGGGTGTGCGAATGCGTTTGTTCACTTAAATGCTCAAGGTTAGTTGATTATTTCTTTTTTTCTTTTTTTTTTTTTTCTTTAACAATACAATGGGCCGTACATGTAGAGGGTAGTTGTGTGTAGCAGTCTTTTTTTGGCCAGCAATAGTAGGAACATTAATATGGAAACAAGACTTCTGCATTGGTAGAATGATTTACATTCAGACTGTGGGGGAAGCATCTTAAAGGTCATGGGTTTGGGTGTTTTGATTGGGTTTTTTGTTTTGGTTTTTAAATACAATTTTAGCATACCGTTACCAGCCCTTTCTCTCTTCACACATAGTAGTTTGACTTGGGTAAAGTACTGCAAATGTTTTATACCATGGTAGGAACTTTAAAGGCTGTTAACAGTCTGCCAACTGCTGCTGCTGCTTCCCAGATTCCAGCAGACTTTTTTCCTAGTGATCTCAGTAAGCTTTTCCACTGCCAGCATCTGACATGAGCAACATTATGGTCACAGTTGGAATGAAACAAACTTTTTTAACTCGTGCTTAGGTGTTCTCAGGCCAGAAATATTTCAGTAGAGTATCAATTTCAGTGTGTGTCAGAAAGGCTGGAAGAGCACATTTGATTCTGCAGTATTCCATTGAACATGGAGAGTCTAAAATGCCTACTGTTATTTAAAAACCCAAACTCCAACTTGAAGACTTTGTTTCCAAGTTCTTTTGAATTCTGTGAATTCATTTGTATTTGACTTTTTTTGTTCCCCCCCTAAAAAGTGTGGGAGAAAAGGGAATTATAGAAGAGCTGAACATAAAATATACCAAATATAAATTAAAGTATTTCTTAATTTACTTCAAGTATACTGCTATTACAGAAGCCAATCTAAAGACCTACAGCCAGTCACCTGCAATTTTTCTTTTTCCTATCATCGTCCTTCTCTAGAAAGCAGTGGGCCAGTTGCGTCCAGCTTCTATTGATAAGTGAATAAATGCTATTTCCTAACCTTTTTTAATTTTCCACATTTTCTGGTGCCATCAGAATCAGTCTGTAGTGATCGTGACTTTAAAAGTTAACATCTCAGCTGAGGGCTGTGGTAACACAGATGAATTATACCTAGGAGTAACAAAGTGTAGGTTTACGCTTACCCACATAGATGCTGCTACACGTGTTCTCTCTGGAAAGTAATTTACTATTCCTTTCACTAAAGAGTAATGCCATGTGTGGGCAGCAGCATTTTGCATATACACACGTAGTGTGTGTAGCTTGTCATGCTGGAATCACTGTGTTCCCTTCCTTTGAAGGTAACTGATACTCTCATGTTTAGGCATGGTTCAGTTTTGCCTCAAAGTTGATCTTTCAACTTGAATGCAAAACGGAGCAAACAGTTTAGGCTGTGGTTAACTTAAAAAGTGTCAATTGTCATTTGACCCACTTAGTTATAGGGAGTTCCCAGGAGTTTCAAATTCATTACTCTGCTGCTGTTTACCAGAGCTCACCTCTGTTTAGCATTTTAAAGCATCTCTAGTGAAGCCTGTGTAAGATTGTGTAACTGAAGATTTCAGTCTGTTCTCTTCAACAGATATATATATATATATATTTATATGTGTGTGTATATATATATTTCAGGAATATGCCCAATGAATGCTGAGCTCTGTAAACATGTGAAAGTTTAGTGTGTGCCTTAGAAGCTTGTCAGCCTGCTTAAAGACAACTTCTCATTTGTTTTCCAGACATCTGGACAACTGTGGACAGAATGCATATCACAGCTCAATGCAGATCAACAGGCAGCCATACAGGAGCTCCTGAACTCTGCTTGAAGGGCCTTAATTATCATCTGCAAGAAAACTAACTCCAAATAAACGTTTACCCTACTGTTTAGGTTTCTTTTGTTTCTTTTTTGAGTAAAACCAGAACTGTAGTGCGTGTAGGCCATTCTTCTGCAACCTACAGGCAGTGGCAGCAGGAAGAAGCATTCTTTCAGAATGGTGTTTAAATCGGTTTCTATCCCACAACACAGAAGACGTTTCCTGTAAACCCTACAATAGCACTGAAGAGTATTTTTCTAATGGTATAAGCCACCCTACGATGGTGAAAGGGAAACAAGTTGAATTTTCTCATTAGACATAATGAATTAAGAAACAGCTTTAAGACTTTCAGCAGTAGATGTACGTTATAACAGATAAACGTTTCTCTACATCTAGTGTTAATTGTATTAATTGGAGTGTGAGTCTTTGTAGGGTAGAGAATGTCCTTCTGCCCAACAAGTTAGTAGATCAAAAGATGAAAAACTGAAGACAAACATCGAGCATGAAGACCTCATTGATCGCACTTTCAGATCCCCAAAACAACAGTGACTCAATGAGGAAAGCTGTTCAGCTTCCAGCCCTTGAATGTGAAGTCTCTTTGGCATGTCTGACAGTATCTCATTCACTCCTCAATAAATGACATTGAAACACAAGAAGCTTGTGTAGAAGTTCAGTGATGTGTGGTTCTTTTAATTTCCTCGTGTGAAAAGATGCAAGTGACAAACTATACAAGTCATGATTTTATATTTGAAACTTTGTATATTGTTGCCTATTACAGATTTTATGCATTTTTGTTTCTTTCTAACAAACTTTTCACCCAAGCGTGTAGAATGGAAACTTAATGGCATTCCTTTTACGACAGTAAACTTACATATCTTGACTTAAAGATGTTTCTCGTGTTCAGATGCAATGGCATTGCATAACTTATAAAATGTTGTGCTGGCTGCAAATGTGCAACATGATCTGGTAGCCACTGATACTGTTACAGGAGCCTGTGTTTTGTTTAAAACAATCCTATAGCTGATGGCCTGACCTGAAAGAATCAAAAACCTTTGCAGGTCTTTTTGGTTCTGCAAGAGCAGTGTTTACCAGCTAACAGAGTAGCAAACATAAGTGTTAGAAATCACGTACTCTATGAAGGTGAGTGAAGTTTCTGCAGTCTGCTACTTCAAGGATATTAGTATATACATTGGGCTTTAAAAACTTCAGGTGTTTACTGCAATGTTCTTCAAGTCAATCTCGATAGTCTCTTAAAACATGAAAATGTTTTCAAAGAGGGTGGCATGTGTTCCTCCTTTTGATCAAGAAAAGCTGGAACTTTACACTTAACAAATCCTCTCTTACTAAAGAATGAACTTTGACTTTGAAAATGTTTCAAAAGCCAAACCCAATGCAGAATGAGGTGTACTAAGACCAGCCCAGCACCATTATAACCAAATGTTTGTGACACAAACTGCTTTAACCATAGGGGTTGATGCTGCAGTTTGTTTAGATGCAGCTGAAGCTGTGTAACAAAATACCTACTCACCCAGTTTCCACTTTGCTAAATATTGTTAATCTTGTATTTACAGAAATCCAAGCATTCATATGTCTGGAAAATGCTCTGTTAAGGATAAGATACTGGTAATGTGAGAGAACTAGTAGGTCAAGTCAGTTATCTCAAGCACTGGTCCTGACTACAAAAATTGCGCTATATGATATCATCTCTCTGCTTCATGGTGTTTGGGGATTTTTTAAAGTAGTATTTATTTTAAATTTTACCTCAGCCTAAAACATGCCAGTTTTCCCTGCAGCTTGCTTTTTGTACTTTCCTCAAAGTTTCAAGC